CTCTCCTCTCTCCTCTCCTCCTCCTCTCTCTCTCTCTCCTCTCTCTCTCTCCTCTCTCTCCTCCTCTCCCTCGCCCTCTCCTCCCCTCGCCCTCGCCCTCCTCCCCCCCCCCTCGCCCTCGCCCTCGCCTCGCTCGCCCTCGCCCTCCCTCTCCCTCTCCCCTCCCGCTCCCTCCCGCTCCCGCTCCCGCTCCCTCGCTCCCTCTGCCTCCCTCTTTCCCCTGCACATGAACATACTAGAGATATCCTCCGTTCACCAGCAGTTAATCACGAGAGGCTAGTCGAAACGCAATATACAGCCTCATCGAGCCTTATCGACTCCAGCGCCACGCAACAGCCGAACACTGCTATGCCGGGTTATGTTCGACTAGTGGCTCAGCTCTCCCCGCGGACGCCACCGATGGCGGACGCGGACAATGACGTCCGGCCCAATCCGAGAACAGGACAGGTGGCGACGCATGAGTCAGCTGTTCGCGGCTACCGCGGGTTATGGCCAGCTACTGGCGAAGTCCAAGCAAGTGGACGCAGCCGCCGCCGCGCCGCGCCGCTCCCGCCCGCAACGCACCAACCGCAGACGAGGAGTGTACACAGAAGGCGGGCGATTATATATTTGCTGAGGAGCTTACTTCGCGTACAAATCACGGTCGGCCCGGCATCGCACTGGCGGCCGTGACACCATTTTCACACCAACGCTTGGGTAGGAACGAACGTCTGGGCGACTAAAATCAGCGCAGAAGAGGCAGGCAGGCGGGTGCAGTGGGCAGCAGCGTGTGGTGTCAACTGTCCGCGCCGGCTGTTAGAGTTATGGGCAACTTATCACTTCGAACAGGTACCGCCAACGTACACCGACCTCAATTACGCCGATAACCCATCCGAGTGGAGGGGGGCAGCTGAGCAGTGATTGTATGAGAGAACTGACTGATAGATAAAGCGATTGAAGTGCTACTCTACTGAGCTGGACGGGCGCGGCTAACAAAAGGACTCGCGACTATGTAGCCGGCAGCTGAACAGACACTACCGGTCGAACAGCCCACATCACAACGTCCCTTGCCAAAGAGGGATACGGAGAACAACGGACACAAATACGGGCTAGGCGCCTAACTTTACCGGCTAATGTCAATAGGTGGACAACAGCGGGCCGGGCGGAGAGAGTTCGGACATAGGTCCGGGTGGCTCAGATATCGTGTCACGGCACACCAGCTGTGCTAACAACAGGTGCAGATAAATGGCCCGTCCGACGATGCAAGGCTTCTCCTAAAAAGGAGGTCTGGCATTTACGCGTTAAAAAGATGCAGTGTGCGACGCGCCAACCAGACAGCATACGCGGGACACGGGCGGCGTGCTCAGCCTAGCCACGAGTCCCGTGCGCCGGCTATTTGGCCACCGGAAGTCCGATTACACACGTCAAGCTGGCGCTTCTGCATCGCCATGCTTTAACGACCCACAGACAGTGCCAGAAGTGCACGGTCGCATAATCCGTTCCCTCCTCAATACGAATTACCCTCAGCTGCCCATGTAAACGGGGTGAGTAACAGGCGTCAGCTGATCAGGGGTTATGGACGGCTAGTTGTTTGGTCCCACAAGTCCGCTTACACACGCCGTTCGTGCTTTCTGCACACCACGCGGCGGGCGGGATGAGTGCGGACTCCAGCGCCGGCCGATGTCAGGCTGGCCGCGGCGCCATCTGGGATCAGCTGACTTGAGGTTATGGACGACTACTTGCCCGCTCCCCACTAGTCGGCTCACTCACACACCCCTTTTGTCTGCAGTCGCCCAGACTGTCGGGAGCGGGCCAAACCGCCACTGCAGACCGGGCGAACAGGCGCGGTGCGGCGTATGACGTCAGCTGCTGGCAGCCGATGTTATGGGTAGCTACTGACTCGGTCCTGACAAGTCAGGTTACACACGTGGCGCGAACTACACACACCGCGGACCGATCGTGCGTGACCGTGCTTGCAGGCTGGGTATTTTCACAACGCAAATAACGGCCCGTGTCCGCAACTGAACAGCGCCGGTATTAAGGAAGTCGGCGATTTGCTAGCTTGCAACTAGTAATGAACCAATGGACACAGACCAGACGGCCCCGGCCCTCTGCGTTCCGGTCCGGGCCGCGGCGGCGCCAGTGAGGCCGCGCAGGTGCCGTCTGGCCTGGTGGCGGCCGCTTCCGGCCCGACCGGTCGGCGGGCGGCTCGGCGCGGACCGGCGGGCGCCACCAGCCGGCGCCGGGCGGCACATGCCGGCCGCCGGGCCGGCGCCCTTCCGGGGCAGCTGCCGGGCGGCTGTCACTCGGCGCCCATCACACCACGCGCCGGCCGCTTTTTGCACGGCTGCAGGCCGCTAATGCGGAGCACACGGTGCGTCGATCAGGGGTCGGGGGACGCGCAGAAGTCGCCCGACCAACGCACAGGCCGCCGGCCGGCGATCGCCCCGTACTCGCCGATGAATAATGCATTGTCGGCATAACTGGACCGATCCGCGCCGGCCGATGGCCGATCCGGCACCGCCATTGTCCGCGGCGAGGTGACACGTCCCCGACCAGGAAGCGTACCGTCGTAACACTAACATTTGCATCGGCGCAAAGGCTGGCAAACGGCCAGACAGGAGCGCACCGCACACGCGGTACCGATGAGTGTCCGTGCCGGGCCGCCGACCTGACGCTGTGGCTCGCCAGGCTCGCCGCCGTGATGGCGACACCAGTCGGCGACCGGGCGCCCTTTGGCGCCGCCGCCGCCGCCGGCTAGCGGACGCAGCCACAGGTCGGTGCCCACAACGGGACAACACGACCGATATCATCGTGGCCAGCAGGGCCCGGTCGTTCGCACGGGGCGGCCGGCGCGGTCCAGCGCGCGCCACCCGGCCGGCCGCCAGCCCCGCGTTCCGATCGGACGCTCGCAGCGGCCCTGAAGCCCGCAAGAGCCAGCGGCCGGGCCGCGTCGACGCAGAGGGCGGCGCCCGAGCGCGCCAGAGACGGGCGACAGGCCAGTGTTCGGAGGGCCGCCGGGGGTGAAGCGCCGCACCGTGGCTCAGCGGGAGCAGCCGAACCGGACGGCTGGATGACTCGTCACCACTCACGCCGCGCGCCAGTTTTCTGCGCGTGTTCGCGACACACGCTCAGAGTGCCGAACGGCAGGCTTGACGGGACGACACCGCTGGTCCAGGCTGGTCTGCGGAAATAAATGCCTTCCAACGACTCCCATCGATCCCGCCATTCAGCCTACAATGGCTCTAACGAAGTGAGACCAAAACGGGCATCTGGCCGCTTTGGTCTCACTTCTCAGCTGGCGGCGCAGGCTCCGCTCGCCCGCGCCGCCCGAGCCGCCAGCGCCGCCGAGCCAGCCTCCGCACGTCCGTCAGTCTGACGCCCGTCACGGGCAAGACCGCTCACGTGTCACGGTCACGGGCGCGCGCCGGTCACGGGCCGCGCGCGCGCCGTGACCGGCGGCTCAACTCTGGCGTCACGGCCCGGTCGGGCCGGCGGCCGCGCCACTCAGCCGGCTGTCGGCTCGGAGAGACCAGCCCGGTTCGCCCGCCGGCCGGCCCGGAGGCGGCCAACTGGTCCAGGTCCGGGACAGCTGACTCGGCGAGGACCGGTCCCGACGCCGACAAGGACTGGTCCCGGTCCCGGGACAGCTGACCTCGGCGAGGACCGGTCCCGACGCCGACGAGGACTGGTCCCGGTCCCGGAACAACGGCCGGACGTCGTCCCGAGCGCCGGCGGCGCGCGGTGGCCACGGACACGGACGGAGCCGCCGCTGAGCGGTGACACGCCCTGCCGTGCGGCACACGGCGCCGACCAGAGACGAGGCACGCCCGCCGAACGATGCGAGCCGGCGGCGACGGATTCAGGGCCAGAGCCGGACCGGATACAGATGGAGGGTGACATGTGTAAAGCGTGAGTCACAGGTGAGTGAACTGTGGACTGTCGGCCCGCCGCACAGACGGGCTCTGTCATCGGTGGAACTGCGGACTGTCGGCTCGCCGCACAGACGGGCTCTGTCATCGGTGGAACTGTGGACTGTCGGCTCGCCGCACAGACGGGCTCTGTCATCGGTGGAACTGTGGACTGTCGGCCCGCCACACAAACGGGCTCTGTCATCAGTGGAACTGTGGACTGTCGGCTCGCCGCACAGACGGGCTCTGTCATCGGTGGAACTGTGGACTGTCGGCCCGCCACACAAACGGGCTCTGTCATCGGCGGAACTGTGGACTATCGGCCCGCCGCACAGACTGGCTCTGTCATCGGTGGAACTGTGGACTATCGGCCCGCCGCACAGACGGGCTCTGTCATCGGCGGAACTGTGGACCGTCGGCTCGCCGCACAGACGGGCTCTGTCATCGGCGGAACTGTGGACTGTCGGCCCGCCGCACAGACGGGCTCTGTCATCGGCGGAACTGTGGACTGTCGGCTCGCCGCACAGACGGGCTCTGTCATCGGCGGAAGCGGCGCCGCAACAGCTGGGAATGCCATCCACGCGCCTCTCCGAGCAGTCTAGATACACGCTCAATGCTTATCGAGTCAAGATAATATCCATCGCTTTGGTCTACGAGAACAAGAGGACAGCTGCCAGCTGTCAGGTGCACGCGAGACACATCAGTTTACGGTTGCCACTGGCACCATGGACTGAGCAGGGGCTAACGTTTTGGCTTGCCGAGAGGTATACTTTAAACCGTTCCCACACAATCTGAATGCGATACTTGTTAGTATGCTGTCCATGACCGACTGACTGCAACCAGGTTTACCTGGTAGCAGCTCTGTCCGTAAGATTTACCTGGTGCAAATGCAAATATTACAGGGACAATGCCAATGGCTTTAGCAGTTTTCACGTATAGACTTCTGCTAGTAGCAGCAATAAGATGCGATGCACAATGCAACCTGTAATTAATCCATCATACACCTAACCATACAGATAACATAAGAGATATAACCACAACTTCATACAGTCAGAGGAGCCTAGGCATGAAAGCGGACCACCACCACACGCGGCGGCCCTCGGTACTCACAGCGGACCACCTCGGCCGGCGCCTCCTCTCCCGTCTCCAGCACCATCCCTTGCGCCGGCGGAGACCGCGTCCCTGCAACGGACGGCACCCGCGTGATCACCATGGCGACCGGCCGCCCACTGCCGACGCCGGCGCCGCCAGGTGACACGCGGCGGCCGGCGGACGCGCCGCCAGCGGCGCCCTGATTGGCCGACGGCCGCGCGGCCCGCTCCACTTGCGGACTCGCGCGCGCTCCGCACGCGCCGCCGGGAGGACGCGGCCCGGCGACCCCGGTCGCCCCCGGCGCACGAACCGGACCGGAACCCGCGGCCGGCTGGCTCCGACGTCGCTTGCTAGGCCCGGTGAAAGTGTGAGCGCGTGCGGGGCGTGGGAGCGAGGCTGGACGGGCGCGGCCGGCGCGTGTGGAGCGTTGACAGGCGGCGGGCGGCGCCGCCGCTCCAGTGTACCGGCTCGGCGGCTCGTTAGTGCCGCCAGGTGCCGACGGCTGCCCCCGGCCGCCGGGCACGAGGCGGGGGCAGAGGGCACCGCTCTGGCGCCAGCGCTTGGGCTATGACCAGCCAAGAGATACCATCGGCGGACGGGTGTGGAAATCAGACGCTTCAACGGGAATAAGTAACCAACGACTAATTGGTCGTTGTGGTATCATTCACTTATGCCCCTACAATTTCAGGGAACGGCTCATATTTAGACGAGGTATCAGCTTTGCAGATAGACTAATTGTTTGGACTGTTGTCCCCACTTGCTGTGTTAGTACACACCAGACCAGAACTTAAGCCTGACGCAATTACTCTATCCAAAACACGCACCAACCGTTCCTTGTCTAACGACACAATTCGTCAACAGTACCTACATGAGCTCACAAACAGCGCTCCCACCGCCGGCCCGCTATTCTCCGGCGTGCATCGCCCGCGCACCGAGTAAATTTCACGTTATGCCAAAATTATGATTTGGGGGAGCGGCATATCAGCTGATTTGACTGTGTGATGCGCGTCTGGTATGCGGGCGGTGTAAACCTAGATCACGGTCGGCGATCCTAACGCGGCAATCCTGAATCCTTACGTTCAGTGTTTATACATATATATATATAATATATATATATATATATATATATATATATATGTGTGTGTGTGTGTGTGCATGTATGTATATTTGGCAACAGCTTATATATATATATATATATATATATATATATATATATATATAGCTGTCGCCAATATATACTATATCACACACACACACACATATATATATATATATATATATATATATATATATATATATATATATATATGCATGTATGTATATTTGGCGAGAGCTAAGACGTCGGCACCTTGACTTCTCAACAAAATATCATGTGCAGCTCAGCTATTTTGGTGCCACTGACAAAATCAATTTCCATTGGATGTGCTGTGATTGTTCTCACAAAATCCCCATTTTTACGTTCTCAACGAACGCTCTCCGTGCAAATAATCATGGTACTTGCCTGGAGGTGGGTGAGGAGGGAGGTGGGGGTGAGGGGGAGGGGAGGGGTGCGAGTTTAGACATGACTCATAGTTCGATGCCATGGCAATGTTTCGTGTCAGTCGTGGGTGCTGATGCGGCCTGCCATCAGTTTCACTTCTCGCCTCGGAGCGCGCCGCCGCTGGGGCTGGCCGCCCCGGCCGCCCGGCCTGCGCGGCGGCCAGTCGACTCTGCGCATGCGCCGGCGGCCCGGGTTTGCAGCCCCAGCCGGTGAGGATCTACGCTGACGGCCGGATGGAATGAGCCGATCGGGTCTTTTTTACCAGTGATGTGCCGTGGTAGGTCATGCAGTGTTGCTCAAGTATAATTCTCATCGGTAAGGGGGCAAAAATCTTCAAAGTATGACTTCGAGAAGAAGGCATTTGCATTCCGGATTATCAAATTGTTTTCTCTTGTGAGAGCCATACCCCATTCCCTAAGGTTTGAGTCCCCAGCCTTTTTGCGGGTTTTTTCATGAGGAAAGAGCTACCATCAAACAGGGCTTTTTCTTCGGGCATAATTTGATGGTAATGAGCAACCAGTGTCAGTGTTTAAGAGTATTTTCTTTTGCATAGGTGTAAAAACAAAATTCAAAAACCGAAACAAAAGCAAAAAGCTGGCTACCACGACACGGTGGATATCAGTGTGTACTTGACCCTGTAGGACTGTTAGTAACCATGAGACATAAAAGGCCACTACCGACGCCCCATACTGAAACCTGACGCTGGTCAAACTGGTCTTGTGACCGCGATCAAAAGCGGGTCTCACCATTAGTGCGATGCCTTGGACGGAGGTGACGGTTCAGGCCAATCGGCCACACCTCAAACAAGTACGGTTAATGGCTGCCACCGCGCTTCTTGATAGGTTCAACCACGAAACATTCTGCTTAATGCGGAGCTGGCCAGCAAACTGAACAGCGCTCAGCTCATTACCGCATAATGCACATGACCTACATAGCAAACCACCAAGCGGCCCGTTTACGAGCCGCACCCAACAAGCAGGAGTCGCAGCACGAAAGGCTTACGGTGGGATACATCCTCCGTCGAGTGACTTGGGAAACCTCGCAAGACCCGAGAAATCGATGACAGTCGAAACCTTTACGAGCGCGCCTGATCCTGTCAGCCGTGGCAGAACGTGGCGAGCGCCACGAGCCAACATCTGCAGCGTCGTAGGAGCCGCTAAGTCATACCGCCGGGCCTGGACGCGACTCAGAGCGCCAGACTCGGACCCAACTCACAGCGCCAGACTCGGACCCAACTCACAGCGCCGGACCCGGACCCGACTCCCAGCGCCAGACTCGGACCCGACTCCCAGCGCCAGACTCGGACCCGACTTCCAGCGCCAGACTCGGACCCGACTCACAAGCGCCAGACTCGGAGGCCGACTCACAGCGCCAGACTCGGACCCGACTCAGAGCGCCAGACTTGGACCCGACTCACAGCGCCAGACTCGGATCCGACTCACAGCGCCAGACTCGGACCCAACTCAGAGCGCCAGACTCGGACCCCGACTCAGAGCGCCAGACTGGACCCGACTCACAGCGCCAGACTCGGACCCGACTCACAGCGCCAGACTCGGACCCGACTCACAGCGCCAGACTCGGACCCGACTCACAGCGCCAGACCGGCCCGACTCACAGCGCCAGACTCGGACCCGACTCACAGCGCCAGACCGGACCCGACTCACAGCGCCAGACTCGGAACCCGACTCAGAGTGCCAGACTCGGATCCGACTCAGAGAGCCCGACTCAGCGCCCGACTCGGACCCGACTCACGACTCAGACCGTTGGCCGGGCCGCGGGGTGAGCCGGCGCCGAGCCGGGTGTTTCCGGAGCGGCGGCCGACTAGCCGGGTCCATCCGGCCGGCCCCGTTTCGGGCAGGGGCTCCCAGACGCCGGACGGCGGCGGTCGTGACCCGACCCCGGCAGGTCAGCGGCCGGCGCCGCGTCCGACGTCGCTCCCGTCCGGGGAGAGCGCGACACACTTCTGGCCGCGGTGGACGCGGCGGTGATGCGCGGGGACGCCCGGCCCGGCCGTATCATGGCCGTACCGCTGTGTAGCGTCTGAACACACTGCGGACAAGGGGGCTCAGAGACCGCCGCTCAGGCAAGGGGGGCTCGGAGACCGCCGCTCGGGCAAGGGGGCCAGAGGCCGCCGCTCAGGTAAGGAGGCTCAGAGGCCGCCGCTCGGGCAGGGAGCCTCGGAGACCGCCGCTCAGATAAGGGGGGCTCAGAGGCCGCCGCTCGGGCAGGGAGCCTCGGAGACCGTCGCTCAGGCAAGGGGGGGGGGGTCAGAGACCGCCGGAGAATTTTAGACTCCGCCTTCCACGGGTCACGAGTGGTGACCTCTGCCGAGATCACAATAAAAAATGGCGCGCCCAACGCCTTAATCTGACCCCGCTGACCTGGTTTGTACAACCAGACACAGCCTGCACCGAAGGTCGTTAACACGCCTGTTTTACAACGGTACGCCGGCTTTCCGACACCGCTTTCCAGCTGGTGTGAGCATGAATGGTTTTCACATCACGGGACTTGTGAGGGCCGTTGGCGGTGAGAAAACCCCACTCCAAAGACGGCTTAAGAACCACAGGGCCACAAGACGAGCCGGGCCAGAGTGAAGAGGAAGCGTGAGGCCGACGGAGCCGCCTCGGATGTCAGCTGACGGGCGGCGCTGGCCACGCGACGGCGGCTGGCCCGATGGACCGGGGGCTTGGTTCCAGCCTGGCTATGGCACCGCAGCTCGCGACTCTCGGGTCAGTGAAGGTACGCTGGGACTTCACCGCTGCCTACCTGAGTCCAGATGGTCAGTGACGCAGCTGGGCGGCGGTACGGCGCACCGGCGGCATAGACAGCCGGGTGTCAACTGCAACCGTGCCGAAGGCCAGCTGGTGGACACGTACCCCGCCGTTTCAACACACCAATGCCAGATTTCGACACCGCGTTCTGGGTGGCTTCACTCGCCACGTCAAACCACAGGCCCCCCCTGACCACACCCGGCGCGCGGCGCGAGGTCACGTCGCGTGGCGGACTGACCTGGGTCAGTGGCGTGCGGGGGCGTGGCCGGCGCCCGGGGCTTCATCAGCTGCCGGTGGTGGACGACGCAGTACAGGCGGCCCTCGTGGCTGGCGTACGTGTCCACGCTGGAAGGCGGCGCGACCGTTTATGACACGGCGCTGGGGCACCGCCGGGGAGCACGGGGACGCGGTGACGGACGTCCCGCGCAGATTCAAACCAAATTGGGTTCCGCTCGAGCGAACGGAGACGAGTTATGCGTAACGTGGTCCACTCATAGATCGAGTGCCGTGCCTTTCAGATCAATGGTACACCAAACATGAGCCCAGTCATTCCAGGGACGGCAATGTACGCCAGCGCAGAAGCACTGCAGTACTAGCGAGACGGTGTATGCTGGCAGCGGTGGGCAGCAAGACATTTCATCGAGGGCTGATACCCCCGGAACAATGGTCCGTTTCCACCGAAACACGGCAGCACAACCCAACAAAGGCAGATGAGTCAGCAGCGCCACCTCCTGCGCAGACCGAGCGGCTGGGCCCGAAAACCAGGGCATCGGGTCAGCCCTGTGAGACCGTAACGCTTGGGCCGCGGTGCAACTCACGACGGCCTCCGGCCTGGCAGAGACGTCTTTTGTCGATAGGTCCGCGGTTTACCAGTCCGAATCATGGATGCCCTCACATGGCGCACCGCTTCGTGATGTCGCCGGGCGTGTCTGAGCGTCCGTTCTCGCGGAGGGCCCGTCCCCAGGCCACTCCCGGGCGTGTTTGAGCGTCCGTTCTCGCGGAGGGCCCATCCCCGGCCACTCCCGGGCGTGTCTGAGCGTCCGTTCTCGCGGAGGGCCCGTCCCCCGGCCACTCCCGGGCGTGTTTGAGCGTCCGTTCTCGCGGAGGGCCCGTACCCCGGCCACTCCCAGGCGTGTCTGAGCGTCCGTTCTCGCGGAGGGCCCGTCCCCCGGCCACTCACGTGATCTGCTTGCTGCACTCGCTGCAGCGGAAGCAGTTCTTGTGCCAGACGGCCTTCTCGGCGTGCACGCTCTCCATCTGGTAGACCTGGCGGCCGCAGGAGCGACACTCGGAGCCGGCCGCCTCCGCGGCGTCCTGCCACACACCACCACCCCGCTGTTAGACGGCCGCCCGCCGCAGCATCGCTCACGCCGGGGGGGGGGGGGGGGGGAGAGGGGACGCTAGAAGACGGCGGCGCGAGGTGACTGTGCTGAGTGAGAGAACTGCCGAGAGCAGCGGCGTGAGGTGACTGTGCTGAGTGAGAGAGCTGGCCAGAGCTGGTGTGCCGAGCCCAGTGCTGCTGGGAGACGTGCGTGACGATGGCAGCCAGATAGCGTGAAACACTGCGCGTGGGGAGGTGGCGGGGTCTGGTGACGGTCAGCACCGGGCACTACCGCGCGTCCGTCATAACGCCGCGTGCAGGGACCAAACAGGAAACAACCCGGCCACGGGGACTGCCTGACTCGGCGAATCCACATGAATGAATGCAATGATGCAGACAACTGTCCTTGCTTAGTGACACACGCAAGAATGGATGTCACAAACAATCAGCCACTGCAGCCAGCAACCGGCTCCATAGGGCGCCACTGCCCGCCGTCCGGTACCTTGCTGAACTTGCGCATGGCTTTGGAGCTGTCAAAGGAACGGACGTGGATCCGCGTGTGGTCCGGCGAGAGTGCGTCATCCTTCCCAAAGCTAGAGCGCTGAAAAGCAACGGGTTCAAATCAGCCTCGCCGACAGGCAGACGTCCGGCTCGCGCGAGGCCCGCCAGCCGGGGTGGCACAGGCGTGGGATAAAGCGAAAACCAGCAGTCGGAAATCGTGTAGGTATCTTACAACAAACGTAAAAAACACCCGCCACCAAAGCTTCCCAAGGGGATCAAACCAGGGTTCAAGCGTGCGTAATAACGTGCAGTTTATTACAAACCACTTCCACCACAATCCCACCACCATAGCATCCAGCGTGTGTGTCATAACACTTCAGTCGGTCCGTCACATATGTACATGGTTCATGCAACAGCCAAAGAAAGGCATCACTCCGCGCAGAAGAGAGCTCAGGGCGACACGCATTGACAAAGGAGAGACCTCCACCGAAGGCGTGAGAGTCAGCCCGACTCCGCGAGTCAGAGCGAGTCAGAGTCGGCGCAGAGGCGCTGCAACAGAGGAGCGGCGCGTCAGACGTGACAGAGGGCGCGTCAGACCGTGTGCGGGAGAGGCCTCTCGACTACAGAGTGCAGACGTCACCAGAGCGGGGCGGCGCGTCGGCCGCTGCCGTCTTACCAGGGCGGCGCTCAGGCCGGCCGCCTTGGTCAGCTCCCGGCCGGGGCTGGGTACGGCTGGCTCGCGCAGTTGGCTCAGGTCGCAGAAGCTGGCCCGCTGTAACACGCCCCACACCCTGTACAGAGCGTCCCGCCCAGCCGGCGCCGACACCGGGGACAAGCGTCCGCCCCCGTCCCCCAGACACCGCTCTAAACCGCCCCACACCCTGTACAGGGCGGCTCGCCCAGCCGGCGCCGACACCGGGGACAAGCGTCAGCCCCCGTCCCCAGACGGCCGCTGGTCCGGCCGGCGCCAAAGCCGGGACCGGGCACATCTCATCCGGGAGCAGCGATCTAACGTCGAAGTGACACCTAGCGGCCACGACCTCGGACGGAGGCGGCGAGCCGCATCACACCACACCGCACAACTCCTACACCCAGCCGTCGTCTGGTCGTCAGCCCGCCACCGCGACAACAGGCAGCCACGACCCCCCAACTACACAGCTGCCCACCGGCCACGCCCTCCGCCGGCCCGCGCGCACAGGGAGCGCCGCCGCGTACCAGGGTCTTGACGGAGACGCGGGAGAACACGTCCGAGTCGCGCAGGCCGCGCTCGGGCGTCGCCGGCGCCTGGCGGGCCGACGCCGGCGCCGGCGCCGCCAGCGTCAGGTCGCCCTCTGATTTGTACCGGCTCTTTGTCAGGGACGTCGGGGGGCGTCAGAGGCGTCTCGTCCTGCCGGCGTCGTTAGTGGGTTAGCGGCGCGGCGGGCTGCGCAGCGGCGGCGGCGTCAGGCCGAGCCGCGCGCCGGCCGTACAGATATAGCACATGTTAGTAGGCTGCCGGCCTGTTGACAAAGTCACACTCAGTCTTGGGAGGGGCGGTTAGTTAAGCTAACATGCAAAACAAAGCCCGTCTTTTTAAAGGCCAGCTGATCTGCTTTTGCTCAGCGAGTTGAACTCAGTCAACGATTCGGTGTCCGCCCAGTGCTGTCCCCTACCTGGGCGGCAGCGCGCCGGTGGCGCCGCGCCTCGGCCGGCGCCTGAAGCCAGGAGCGCGGCACGGGCGAGGCCTGCAGGCCCGGCAGGTCCACCGCGCTGGAGCTCTGGGCAGCAGCGTTAGGCGGCGCGCGTTAGTCAAGCGAGTTAGGCCAGCGGCTGGTGACAGCTCATGTTAAAGACTACTATCACCGTCTTTCCACTAAACTGCCGAAGCTTGAGTCACTGCTCCCCGTTTTAAGCAATCTGTACAATGTCAGGAGACCACGACGCAACGAGTTCCGTAAAGCGCCCACCTCACTCCAGTCGCGCATGCATATACACAAACATACACGTCTGATGTCAGAAAACGGTCGGACCTGCCCAGTATTTATCCGCCCGCAGTCCCGTTCGGGTACGGAGCGCGCCCGGGTCCGGGCTCGCGCCCGCTGAGGTCTGCCAGTCGGGGGCGGTCCTTACCAGGTCCCGGATACTGTTACAGCGCGGGGCGGGGCGGGGGGCGGCCGGCCGCAGTGTCGGCTCGGGGGCCGGCGCGTCCGACAGTCGACTGAGGTCACCGTAGCTGGCCCGCTGCGGGAGGTCACCCAGGTCAGTCGATGTCCGGCCGCCCGGTCTCGGCGCCCTGGCCGTCCGTTAGCAGTGCTAGTTAAGCCCCTGTTAGACGGGTTAGTGTAGGCGGCTTGACTTACTTTGTGATCTGTACATTCCGTTCAGGGTTAGGGTGGACATGACGTAAAATTTTCCTGACACACAAACGATGATACTGTTTTAAGGTCCCTTATATCGATAATGAAGAATGGGAAACCAACTTAAGACATCACGAAAAGTGAGCGAGTTGCTCGAAAAAGTCCCGACGTTGGCTGCAGTCGTATTGACTTACTAGGGCTTTAACTGAGACCCCCATGCACGCACTCTTCAGAGAGTCTGACTGGCTGAAGGGGTCACCGCCTGGTCTCTCCCCGGCCTGGGTCAGGTCATTCCAGCTGGTGCGCTAGGGACAGCGAGCCCAGTGTGTTAGTACCTCAAACACCACCGGCCCCCGGGGCGGTCTTCCGCCGCACAGCGACGGCCGCCAGGCCGCCGCCCCATATGCGAGCCAGGCGGCCAGCAGGGGCGCAGCGCATCATGTTGTTCTTCCCATATTATTGGACTTCCTGGGGTTATTTAGCACCGGAACCTCACACCGTTGGCATTCGCACAACACCATTTAGCTGGCATGCTAGTGGGCATGCAAACACATGCTACCGAGCACGAGGTTATACACTTCACAATCGCACACGTGTATCCTGGCCACGTGCCTGGATGCATCACACAAGCGAGCAGCGTCAACAGCCAGCGCTGCACGTCCCTCGCCCAATGAGCGGTGGCCGTGCCATGTAACTCTGAGCCACCGAGGCTGTCAACAGTACCGCCCGCTAGTGATCTAGCTACCGCTGCAGCCCGCAGCCCGCTCAGCAGTCTGGCCATACACAGGACCCGAGCAGGCCAAAGCGGTCTCATCACACGAGGTTGCGTTCCAATGACCGAGCTGCACCACTTCCGCTCGAGCGACGCCCATCGACCGATCACCGGCGCATCCCATGTGGAGCACCTTCGGCCCGGAGATCAAGCGGAGACACGGGCTGATCAGCACCCCCTGCGGCTAAAGCCAGGGCAGACGAGACGACCAGCGTCTGACGTTCTGCAGGGAGCACCAGGGACCAACACCTTCCCAAAGGGTGGTGCTGCCCGACCGGCCGGCACTGCCTGCCGCGCGCCTCGGCGGGCAGCGCGCCACTGACCAGTTTGTCGATGCTGACGCCGGTGCGGATGGTGCGGGGCGCCGGCCGGTCGGCGGCGCCGCCCGCCTGCCCGTGGACCTTGCGCCTGCTGCACGTACGCCGCCCGGATGGAGGGCAGGCTGAGGCCGGCAGGCAGGTCGGCCGCCGCCGCCTGCCTTCTGGCCGGCCGGCTTCGGGCCGCCGTCCGGGCTTGAGTACACGGACTTCTGCCGGCGCCGGGACACGCGGTCAGCGGCCGCTGCCAGCTGCGCCGGCTCCAGGGCGAGGGCCGGCGCCGCGCCGCCGGCTGCGGCGGCCGCCTGGCGAGATCACACTGTGCCACCGGCGCCGCCCGCGGCTGGGGCCGGCGCGGCACCGCTGGCGCGCGGCCCGCCCGCCGGCGCTCGGTTGCACTGCTAGTGTGGGCGCGCGCGGCGGCCGTGACAGCGCGGAACCGAATCCGTACGGTATTGCGGAGCGCGGACGTAACGAGGCCGGGCGAGGCACGAGCATTGCTGCATGGCTCACGGGAAGTGATTACGGCAGACAATACAAACGGCTCGTAACGGCAACATAATACTTTTCATGGGAGCAACGGGATACTCCCACGCTTAGCAGAAAGTCGATCAGGGTTTGCTGCAAAGCATTCAGACATATTGCAATGCTGAAAGATGTTCCTAAGTGTTCCCAAATGTGGAGACACATTATTACGGCTAGGCTCACAACTATGCATACAGGATGTGGTCTACTTTTCAGTGAACGCAAACTTCGTCACCGATGAAGACCCTCTTTTCAAACAAAGCGAAATGTGCATGTCAAATGGAGTCCACAATGACCATAGTCATGCCAGCCAAGGTTGCAGATTAGCCATGTGCTGGGTACGGCATATGCTGGATAACCTGTAGGTAGACAGGACGCGAACAACACAACTGCTCAAGTGAACCCACGAAGGTAGCAGCGCAGGTGCGTCACACATTCACACCAGGAGGTGCCACTGTTGGGGGCTGCGCGCAGCGCGTGACGTACCAGCGAGGCCATGTTGACCGTGATCTTGGACATGTCTCGAGGCCGCGCCTCGCCGGTGGGCCCGGCGCGGGCCGCGGCCGCCGGCGGCGCCGCGTACGTGTTTTTCTGGCGACGGGCGGCGACGGCGTCAGCGCCTCGGCAGCGCGGGTGCGCGCCGGCGAGCTGCGCACCACTGTACATTCCACCGCGCGAAGCACTGTTCAGACGTACGAATGCACACACGTGTACGCACATACACACGCACGCATGCACACACACATATGCCCAGACATAGCCACACCCACACACACGTGCGATGGTCCGTCCGATGGCGACGCGGTACAATGCAGCGCCTCACAGACACGATGCACGACACCGCCGGCGACACAGGACGCTTCTCTCCCTCTCTGTCTCGCTCGGCGGCGTTCTCTCCCGGTATCTGCACGCCCCGGCCCCCCTCCCCCCCCCCCCCAGCGGCGCCGTGACAGGTCCACCGGCCGGACCACGTACCAGGTTTTTGATTGACACGCCCGTGTCGGGGCGCCGCACGGGCCGCGCGGTCGCTTTCGCAGAGTCGAAGTTCGTCAGGTAACTCGATCGCTGAAAGGTTACCGTCGCTCTTTGAAAACGCGCCGCGCGCCAGCGCCGGGCGCTCGCGATACGCGGAAGCTGGTCGGAAACGCAG